TTATCAATACCACTCCTGCTGTCACTGTTGGCACACTCCTGTGAGCTAGCTGTGGCAGGACTTGTACTTGTTGTAGCCAAAGCTGGCTTGGTTGGTTTGGACATTGGATGCAATTGGATTGCTGTGGAGCTTGAGGCGGTGCCTCTAGGATTCCTGAGAATCGATAGCACTCAAAGTGTCTATCAGTGCTTGGGTAAGCAGGCTCCTACCTTGGAAAGGCTTTGTAATCCAAGTCTCACGTCGTCGTGTCGACTAGCTTGCAATGAGTCCAAAACAAACCTTGGAAGTAGTTGCTCGGCATCCCGCTTGGTAACGAGAAGCTGAGCGGGTGTAGACGAGATAATACGGAAAATGTCATCGTCAGAAAAGTCTTTGTGGCTGGCACTCCTGCTGGGAGTGGTGCCACTCCTGGAAGACTGGTGTCGGATGATACCGTCACTTTGTGTACCTGCGGCTCGGACTGGGAAGTTCGGCTGCATTGACACGTGATGGGGCTGGAAGCCCTTCGTAGATGGAAGCTGGTTGAAGCTTCTGGAAGTCGTAGACTTGTGGGAAGTGATGCCCTATTGGAAGGTGCATGGAAGCTGGAAATGATGTAGCTTGGAAGTCACGGACTTGTTGGGTTCGACTGAACCTAGTTCTTGGATGGTCTCGATGTCTGAAGATGGAATGAGGAAATGGTTGAGTTATTGTTTCCTCTTGTCATGGTTGTTTATACTCATGTGAGACTCGTGACTGCTGGTGTCGTCACTTGTGGTGACTGGTGCCGTCACTTGGTACACTGGGTACCGTCATTTGGTGTTGCCGTAGCTGAGACTGGGAAGTCAGGCTATAGCGACACTTGGGAGAACTGTTGTAGTAGCTGGAACTAGGAGGAAGTTCCTTGCCACAATGATACTTTTGAGTTGGGGCTGGAAGCCCTTGGAAGTTTGGAAACTTGTAAGGAAGTATTCGGTAGTAGTTGTGGATGCTCCAACTTGGTGGGCTCCACTGGACCTGGACGTGTCACGGTCGATGATGGTTCGATGGTGATGTAGTCGGTAGATCCTTTGGTTGGTGATGTCACTGCTCTTACACTCCTGTGAGATGGCTGTGTCAGGACAAGTGTTGGTTCTGTCACTGCTCTTACACTCCTGTGAGCAGGCTGTGGCAGAACTTGTAGTCGTCTATAGTTGTATCTGTTGTAGGCTTGATTTGATGTACTCACGTACTTCTGTTTTGGTGTGAGACTAAGGTGGTTGCAATCTCTGTACAGTAGTTGTATGGTGGAGCTGAGGTGTGCGCCCTCTTGTTGTTTCTATTGATCAGGTTCCCGCTTGTGGGTCATACTCTGAATGCTCCAGCCATCCTGTGGCTTGGTTCCTTGTCTTGTGAACTCTTGAGTGGTTTGCTTGTAGCTAGCTACTCGGTTCAACGTTCACTGTCGTTCTGCTGTTGTTGCAGTTGCCGTTATTGTAGATGCAATTCGAATTTGGTTTGGTCGATTCATTGTAATCGGTTTGGTAGTGGAAGATACCGGTGTTGGCTGTTGTAGCCATTGATGTTGACTGTTGTTGTAGCCATTGATGGTTGTTGGCCGTGTAGTTGTGGCCATTGATGTAGTTGTGGCCATTGATGGTTACGGCATTGCCTATAAAGGCGGATGTTATGATGATTTTGTTAGTAGGATTGTAGGTTTTGGGTACCACCACACTCCTGTGCACTTGCTGTGATCAAATAGCAAGGGCATAGACTTGTAATGGTATTGTTGTTACCTGCCTGGAGGCTGTTGTTGCTTCAGGTTTGCCTGTAATCAGGGGAGGAAGTGCTGTGGTTCAGTTGCACAATACACATTCCATAAAAGGTAGTAGGAGGTGCTGTGGCTGGGATGCCACAATACACACTCCATGGAAAGGGTAGGAGGTGCTGAGTGTAAACTCAATACACACTCCAAAGAAATTATTCAATGCTGGCGGAAGCACTCCTGTGCTTATTCCTATAGCTTTGTTGCTTACACTGCTCCAGTGGCTTGCACTGGATGTGCTTCGCTCCGTACCAGTAGCTAGCTAGCTAGCTAGCTAGCTAGCTAGCTGTCTGTGTGCGTGCAGAACATGCTCCGGTAGTTGGCCATACTGTATGGTACGACGGGAGACTTGGCTTGGATTCGCCGTGGAATCCTCTTGTTGCCGGCGTTCGGAGCGGTCAGTAGCTTGGAAGATACCTTTTCGCGAAAAGATACCTTTTTTGTGTTCAGTGGTTGTGTTGGTCGCTGAACTGCTTGTTCTTTGCCGTTCCGTGGAAAGGCTTCACAAACCACAAATTTCGTGTCGGCACTTCTTCTTCTTGTTGCCGATTGACACAATGGCACTGTTGTTGCCATCTGCTGGCGGAATTCGCTTGCGAATTAGCTGTTGCCGTTGGTGGCAATGGCGCCGTTGCCGCTATCTATCGGTTTTGATGACCGATGGCTTTAACAGTAGCGGTAGCGACCGGCTAATAGTAGCTGTCGCTGTTGCTCTTCTTGTTCTTTTTGACAGTAGTAGCGATCGTTTGATCGCTTCGGTCGTCTTGTTCTGGCTGGTCGTATTGCAAATTTGCAAATTCGCTCTTATCCAGCCTGTTGCCGATGGATGCAACTCCGTTCCTGTTGCATTCGAGAGCTTGCACTCTTCTGGGCCTGTCAGTGACAGTATAGTAGCCCACTTCTGTGAATGACAGTCCTTCCGTAGGACCTGTCGTTGTCGAGTAATCGGCCTGGTAAGATGGCTTGTTATTGTGCGTTGGAATTTTCTGTTCCGTCGCACCTCTCTTCTAGTAGCCAACTCGATGGCTCTCTTGTTGAGGATAGGAACTCTCCCACGGAAGTACCTCTGTGGTATTTTCCTGTTGGGACTTGTTATCTCGTTCCTTCCTCTTCCGTGGCAACACTTCTGGTGTTGCTCCTCTTGACTTGCTGTTGTGCTCACAGTAGCTCTGCTCCGTATCTTACAGTAGCCTTGCTCCTTACAGTGGCTAGCTAACTCACTCCTGTGAGCTTGGTTGCTTGCTTGGACTCCTAGCTAGTCGTCCCAGCTTTGCTTGCGTGCAGTCTCCGTGGCAGCCTGTGGCGCCACTCTTGTAGTTGTTTTTCGTACCGTCACTGCACCTATAGGTTGCAGTCGTACGATGGCTGTATATTCCGCAGCACAAAATCTTGGTGTTCGCTCGCTCACTCCTGTGAGCGTGCTTCCTTGCGTTTCGGCTCACTCCTGTGAGCTCCCTTCGCTCGGGATGACACTCTTCGTCGTGTCACTCCTGTAGTCTTCGTACGACCACTTGGTTCCGTCGTAGACTTGGCTTCACTCCGTACAGTAGCCTTGGCTCCGGCTAACCGGTAGCCGTTCTTCGTATTCGCTCACTCCTGTGAGCTTGCTTCCGTCCTGATCCGACCGGAGCTGCTTACTCGGTTGGACGTAACTCACTCGATTCCTGTTGGATTTACTTCGTTCAAGCATAGAAGGAGTGTAGTTAGTAATGTTCTTTGACGTAGTATGCTCTGGTGATGCTTCGGTTGACCGGAAGTCGATCCGTCCTGTAGGAACTCGTGAGGCAATTTCGTGCTCTGAGGTTTGCCTGGTGAGCTGTTTTGGTAGCCCTTATAGTGGGGCTGCAGCGCACTGTCTGTCTGAACCGTTTGATGAGGTCTTTACCTAGGCATAGACTCATTCATGTACATGTAATAGGATGTAGTCAATATCGATATCACCATGTTGGTGATCTCGAATTCGAGATGTCGATAGAGAACACTTCTTGGAAATAGTGTTGGTTGCTAGTAACACTCTAGCTTAGTAAAGGTAAAATACTGTTTTACTGTTAAGCTATTTCCAAGAAGTGATCTTTCTCCATGTTTTCTGGGATTGATTCAACTTCAAAGGATATAGTGAAGGGGGTGACCATATAGATCAGTTAAACTCCCCATGTATGTAACTAGAGAATAGATATAGATATCCCCTATCAACTAGATTGGGATAAACGACTAATTTGTATTGAGGTGTCTGTAATACAACCTCCAACAATGATGAGGCCTGCCTTGATTTTGCTACTGATGCTTGCTTGATGAGTATTGTTGCTCTTCCCAAGGTCCTGCCCATGGGTGGTGGCTTTCGCGACGGAGTGACAGTGAAGCCTGACGCAAAGTATTGGGTGAAAGGAGAAGGGTTGAAGTCACCGGCCATCGAAGAGACTGAGTCTGCCCCTGCTTTTACTGTGGTTGAGGCAAAGAAAGTGTCTCGTGAGTACAAGACCCACGACATGTCCAGCACTGTGTTGTCTTACAATCTTGTGTTGATGGATGGAAGTGGTACCATGTTCAAGGCCACGGTTAACAGTGGCCTGTCCCACTATTTCGCTGCATACAACCTCTACGTTGGATCGACTGTCTTCGTGGATGACTATGCCATCATCACGCAGACATCCAACCGTAGCTACACGTACAAGATGTACATGCTCATCAAGGACTTCCGCTGGAAGCTTCCCCCAAACAAGAAGGTCATTGATCTTCTTCCCATCATCATGCGTGACGTTGTTCCAGCCACTGGGCATATCTACCGCGCACCGGTAGTTGAGAAGATGATTGACGCCAAGGCCATTCGGGCAGTGTCCAGGTTGGGAGCAGTGGTTCCACTTGAAGAGAAGAGTACTTCGATTGATGCATATGAGTTCGATCCACTGTCTCATGAGGCACCTGACAAAGGGCCTTACTTCACGGAAAACTGGACAGCATGAACTTAGCCAGTCAGCGTTGGAGGAAGCAATGGACTTGACTTATGAAGTCTCGTGGATGCGACATGCGGGAGAATCTCCTGAATACCTTCGATCTGTATGAGAAGAGAAAACAAGCGTGGAAGTTACTTCATTGTGACACAGCCAGCAATTGAAAGAGGACATCACAACAGTTGCCAGTGCTGTTCTGAGTATGGATTCATCCAGTGATTCTTCTTACCTTGCCTCTTGAGGATGTTGACGTGAACGACTTGTATATCTCTGTTTCCAGCAGGTTGAACGGAGAGCTGATGGTGATCATTCGATGACTTGGCGCCCACCACAAGCGCTGGTGCTTCTACTGGTACTACGCCGTAATGGGTACAAGTTCGTCAATGGCCGAAGCAGTTGCCAACCTGTTTCGTAAAGGCAGTTCGGTCATTGTATCCGAATCCGAGGGAGTTAGGTACAGCACTTTCATGCCTACTGAACCGAAGAAAGTTTTGGAGGAAAAAAGTATTATGAGCGCTGGTGCCAAGGCTACGGAAGGTGGTGTCAAGCGAAAGTCCCTTGATCTTTGGGAAGACTAGAGAGCAACCGAACACCGTTGGTTCTCTCATAGCCTATCAACGCTCCAATCAGCGACGTCTCGAACCATTCGAGAGTTCGGAACGATGGAAAGTGGAAGAACTTCCACACCACTTATTTATTGTGTCTTGTGTATTTGTCGACAAAGAATACCAGGTTTTCGCAGCCAATGAAGTTTAGCTATTGATAACGCTAGATTTCTATACTATTTTAGTACATCGTCGTACCAATAGCTACGTACATTTGACAAGTCAAACTGTTCCGCGATTTTTCCAACTCAGAATCGACGATTATCGCAAAAGAACATAAGAGAACTACGGCCCTACTACGCTACTACATTATGTGTTTGGCGATGTTCAACTGTCATTTGCTAGCGATTCCGACAGCTCCGCGATTCGTGGATCGCTTGTGAGGGTAATGTTATCTATGAGGAAATTCATTCGTCGCCATCCCGTATACTCTCTTCATCATGGAACAACATTGTTATGTTCTTCTTCGCCGACTGATGTTTCATTGGGGGATCCACCTACTCCTCTTACGTCGGTTCCTCCCATTATTTGGACAAATCCACTCCTCGCATCTTTATGTCCTCTCCGATTACATTCGAACAAACTACCTCCGACAATGCCCCCTACCGTTCGTTTCTTCACTTTCATCGCGGAGCCAGTCTGGTAAGCCATGCCGTTCGCTCGATCAATTCCGCATCCGTCTGTTTCATTGTTATTCCTGTATCTTATGCTTGTCTTTTCGTTGACACGGAACTCCTTTTTCCTTGATGTCTCTAACTTACTGTTTCTTTGTCGGCTCCCTTAGGAAAGTCGGTACTTACTGTCAACAAGTCTACATCCACCAACCAACATGGAAGAACAAGTCATGCCACAGAGCCTGTTACCAACCAGATGGATGGCATTCAATACGGACTCGCATACCAACGAAACGCTACCAGTAGCGTCTTTGCTTTGGGAGCCAGCCATGCGATCTGTTGATTCAGTGACTCGTTAACTTGGTGTCACTGTCGTGGAAAAGTTCGGCAAGCTTTTCAGCTGTGGTGAATTCTTCCACAAGTACTTTCAAGTCCTCGAAAAGCAAGCTGTCACGTTCCATATTGCGGTAAGTTTTCTGGACTTTGATCGCTGCTCCAGTTGTCTGCCTTTCTCTTTCACCACTCACCGCATTTGTCGTTGTAAATCAAAATGATGTCTGTAGATGCACTTTGCCCTTTCACCCTTTCGCTTTCCGGTATGCTAGCAAGATACAAAGATATTCGAAGAATATCGCCCTCCTGCATGTCATTCCTGGTTTTTACTGGTCTTGCTTTCAACTGGTACATACGATTCTTGAGTGTCTTCTTTCGATGAGCTGGGTCGGCAGGAACCTTGGTTGCGGCACAGGGTACTTCAACATTCCCGATGTACGGTATACCGGTATCATCTTTACTTGTTCCGGATTCTTCTGTTGGATGGAGGCGCAACACGGTCCCTATTATCAACTCCCTCCGGTCCCTGGTGCATGACCGTGGTGTTTCAACCAATCAACGTTGGACCATTTGCATCGTGCCTTCATTTTGCTGTCATCGTCGGTAACAACGTTGGTGAGACAAACAGCCTTGTCGAAGTACAGATCCTCTGCCATCTTCAACAATGAGGCAGCCTCCATTGCACCGGCACCATCATCGTGGTTGACAAGACACTCATGATCCGGTATCTCATCGGTAAGTTCCCGCTTCTGGTTACATACCCTACAAAAGTGCATTTGGTAGACAGACTCACTGGTTTTCTTGTCTTCTCTCCCACCAGACATGCATGACCTGAATGGAGTCATACGTCCTGCCACTGGATCGCTTATTCCATCCCATATCAGGAAGTTCCGATGAATGGAAGCTGTGTTCCTTCTGGAGGTGAGTCACCTGTGACTATACTGTCATGCCACTGCTTCAACTCTGTCTTCCCTTCCAATATATGTCAGTCTTATCTCTTCCATCAAATTGTCATGCGGTACCCTTCTACTACGTTTCACGTAGGAGCCACCGCCGCTCGATTGAGAGAAGTTCTCCTTTCCATTGAATTTGCTCCAGAAGAGACAGAAAGCTCAAATAGCCTTGCTGCCTCGTTCCACCATCTCCGCCCCACAAAGGCAAGTACAAATCGGACATTGATATCAAAGTCAATGTTGGCATCACCTGTGCATCAGACTTTCTAAGCGTGTCTTTTGGTCCTGGCAGACTTGACTTGAACATGGGATCACATTGCGTACACTCAAGTACTGGTGTAGTAGCAACACCAACAGAAACAACCTTCAAGCGAAGTGAATTGGCCTTGTGACATCTGTTGCAGACACAACTGTCTCGATTAGCTTGGAAAATGGTGCTGTTTCCACTATGGCACGGTAGGTGGTGGTTCTGTCATTGGTTCAACATCTGGGACATCATCATCGTTAACTGCAGTGTCCTGTGTCATGTCGTTGACTCTTTGTCATTTTGAGTGGTGATTTTCTTTTACAGGGACGGGCAATGGTGGTGGATACCTTGCAACGGCATCAATTCCCTCCACAAGATCAACCTCGCAGAACATCCTGTATTGAGACGTTGCCGATTCCAATGCTGACCACCAAACCGACCGTGCTGGTCATCTCCTCAAGGAGGAGTTGTTGCTTCTACCACTGTGTCTTGTAGCATTGTGGTTGTGGTTGTTCTGGTTGTCTGTGACGGCACTCTGCAAGAAATTTGGTAGGCCGACATGTTCATCGAAGGAGAGTAACTGTCCCTCCATTCATGTTAGCTAAAATCTGCCAAAGCTAGCCAAGCTTGGTGAACTTTGTGAGGCGCAAAGCCAACATTTCAGCGGAGGTGAATGGCGAGACATGCTTCGAGGATGGAATGAGGAGGTCGGAAGTTCCAAATTCCCACGAAATCATAGGGTGGATATAAGAGCTAATTTCGTCTCCCGGAGACGACTTGCTTTAGGGGTAAGGGTACTGTTGGGGGCAGAGGTTTGAATTATACGGTACCCGGCGTGCAATACTTAGAGGCCTCTGTAGAAGTCTACGTATTTGACTAGTATTGTATTGACGGGATACAGTCAACGCATGTACATGCACATGAAAGTCGCCTCGCTTTTCACACAAGTTTCGCATGAATGAGCTCGAGCGAGGAAGCGGTTTCGGTTTCGGGGCGAAGCAAAAAGAAAGGGATGAGCGCGCATTTCTAGTGACAGTTGAAGTTGTCGCCAAAATTGTCACAATAGCGCTTCGGCAGGCTCAACAACACCAACAGTGAGTAGATTGTAGTGGCAGGTTGGGTCAGAACTGCTGCTGTTGTTGTTGTTGACTCCTTGCAAAGGAAGTGAGTTTTGGAGTGTTTTCTCAATGGGGGTTTGTCGTGCTTTTTACTAGTAGAAAACTTTTACAAAATTGAGGTGCGGTGAAAGGGCATTGAAAAGAATGACCATGGCCGCAGGATGTTGTTGTCGGCTCAAAGCGCCGTCGCTTCCGATCGTTTCATCGCTCCAATGGATTGTCGCTCCGGCAGATCGGGCTCTGCGTAGAGTAGTAGCCGCTTGTTGCAAGCGTCGCTCCGCTCCGTGCAAGAGGCGCCGTGGAAGAAGAAAGAAGTCTTCGACTGAACCGATCCGTCAAAGTATCATCGATCCGTCGATCGAACGGACGCTGCCGCTGCTTCCAGATCCAAACAAGAGGAGCCTGTCATGGTGGAGACGTCTCCGAGAGGAGTAGCCGCTGTAAAGAAGAGGAGTGTAGCCGCTGTAGAGAGAAGCTAGCGCCATCTTGATAGAGTCAAGGTATCGAAATAATGAACCGGAAGAGGAGGAATGGCTTTTATGTTTATCAGTCGGTGGCCATCCCTCGTTGGTCCTCTCTTTGCCAACCATGTGTGTTGTCAACGCAGTTTGTGGGAATGAATGCACAAAGGCCGTGTCCACGGCTACAACAACAATTTTCCACATTCTGA